CGGCGACCGGAGTCTGTCCCCGCGGTGCCTGCGTGGGATCGGTGTTTCTCTCGAGATTGAACTCCAAAATCAAAGTTAAGGCGCGGGGAGGGCAGAGCGGCGATTGCATGTAATGGTTGGGCAATATTTTCGGTGCTAAGAGACACCGATCTCCCCGCACCCCCAGTTTTCTCAGCGGCGGGGGGAAGAAACAGCGAGGAGAGTGGGGCTCGTTTCGTGCCGCTGCTCTGCCGGGGGAGAACGGGGCCGTGAGGCGTTCCAACGAGTGCCGCCCGTACCTTCCACTGTCCCTGCGCGGGGGGCAGGGACACGTCCCGCCAGGTTCCCGGTTCTTTCTGGCGACCCTCCCGCTCCCGAAGGTCCTGCGGGGAGGCGCAGCAGAGGGCATGCGCGGGGTTCTTTATTTCGTATTTATTTTTTGTTAATTATGATTATTTTTTTTCTCCCCCCTCCGCACAGAACCCTAACGCGGAGAACGGAAATGGCGCTGCGCGGGTTCTGAGTGGGTCTCCCCGCGGAACCGGGCCTGCCCCATCACCATGGAGCAGCCATCTGACCCTGCGCGCAGCGCGCATCTCCTCGCGGAACTCCTGCGGCACCGGGCAGAGGGACGGGGCTGCTCGGCCCTGTTCTGCCGCGGGGCACTCCGCGGGTGAGGGGGCAGCGCGCAGCTCCATGCTGTGTTTCAGCCTGAGCCGAATCTCAAAGCTGTTGCTTTGCGTGTTGTCCAAGGGAAGAAAAAATCTCGCCTTAAAACTGTTGCTAATTTGAGGGACCGCTCCATTTGGCCGGCCGCAGTGATTTCTTATTTTGTGTTTAATTATCTGCCACCGAAATTGAGGGGAGTGTGAGGTCTGAATTCCCCCCCGGCAGAAGAGGAATATTCTTCCCTCTGCCCGAATTTCCTCCATAGAATTTCTTCTTAAAGTGAGTGACAGTTTGCATTACGTTCTGCAAAGGTCACAACCGAATATGTGGATTTAAAGCCCTTCCGCACCTCCGCGGCCCCTGACGGAGGGAGAATGTGGTGCGACTGTTTGTGTCGCGGCTGGAGGCCTTACGGGGAGTGTTACCAAACGTGCGTTTTATGAAAGCGGGGCCCTTTCTGAAATATCATGGAAAGAGCCCCGAGGTGAGTACGGCCGTATTTTCAAAATAGAGCCCAGCTCCGTGGCGCGACGGGTGACCTCCGGGCTGCACTCCGGCTGCACGCTGCCCTCTGCGTGTGTCCCCACGAAACGGCACTGTCTGAGGCGAACGCGGTTGGATTTGCACTGCCGGGGCTTTTGCTACGCTCAGGGGGCAGCGGCGGCGAAGGGCCGGGGCCCACGTGAAGAGGAACGGGAGGTAACGATGCGAGGAGTTTCATGTGTCGTCCTCACGGAGTGAGCAGGAGCGGAACGCCGGACCCGCGTGGGGACGGATGGACCCGCATCCTCGTCAGAGATCACCGATTTCGGGAATAACCGCTAATTGAACGTTAGCTTTCAATTAATCTCAGTGTGAGGTCATTTAAATGTCGGCGCAGTCACTCCGCTCCCCCTCGATTGCCCGACGGCTCGTTTATTTTAATATGCGAGGATTTTGGAAGGACTGCGAGACGCGCAGCAGAGGGCAGGGGCAGCGGCGGTGCCGTCGGGGCGCCTGAGGCCGAGTTGTCGCTGCGCGGGCGCGCAGGTGGCGTGCGGAGGAGCACAGCGGGGCAGCGCGCAGAGCAGGTTGCGCGAGTTTTAGTCCGCCGGACCTCGACCCGATCCCACGTGCCGGGAGGGTCCCCCTCGCCCTTCCTGTGTGGATTTTGTTTCTTTCCCCCCCACCCCCCTTTTTTTATTTCCCCCTCTCCTTTTCCTGCCCGACGGCGCGTCCTCCCCGAAGGTGGTGCGGTGCCGCGGTGCGCGGAGCCCTCCCGACTTCATGACGGCGGCGCTCATAAAGCCATTCGCTTCTTTCCAAAGCCATAAACAAACGTCGTGTTAGGTCAAGATTGATGGTGTCCATGCAATAAAACCGGGCCAGGTCAGGAAGGAATAAAATTCAATCAGAGCGCGCGGAATCATTTTTCAGGGGACAGAAAGACAGAAAAGGAGACGGGGGTCAGGGGAGGCGATGCCGCCGTTCCCAGCGCACCGCCGCCGGGGGGAGGGCGGGGGTTAACGAGCGATTGTTTTTTATCAAGCGCAGAACAATGGCAGCGGAGGGGGGAGCGGTTCTGTGTCGGGGCGGCCGCAGCTCCGCACCGGGCGAAGGCCCCGCTAGCGGCCCCGGGGTGCGAACGGCTTGAGGGGCAGGGACTCCCCTAGGCACCGAGAGTCGCCCGCGGCTCGCTCGGCTTGTAACCTCGCTCGATACTCGCGTGCGGCAAAAATAAGAGATATTAGAAAGCATGGGGAAGTGGAGGAAAGGCGGACCCGGCTGGAGACCCGCGGGCTGCGTGGGAATGGGGAGGTCGGCAGTTTTCTGCCACCTCAATCAGCGCAGCTCGGGGCGCTCTGGGTGGGCAGAGCGGAGCCGTGCGTGGGGCCGCCCGGGAGCGGCCCTACCTGCGCCGGGGGTCGGGGCTGCGCGTAGCGGAGTGACACCGCCAACAACGAGATCCTGACTGGAATCCCCCCTCCTCCTTTCGCCGCCGCCGCTGGGGAGAACGCAGGAAAACCGGCACGTTTAGAGCCATTAGCTCTGAAAATAGCCGAATTTCCTCCAGTCGGGAAAGAAAACAATAAATAAAAAAGAAAGAACAAATGATGATACTCGGGATATTTATGTTCGATATGATGTTATGTATTCATCAATCGATAGATACTGAGGTCGGATCGGCACAGCGACGGAGCAGAAGGGCTCGAGATAGAGAAGCGCCGTAGCCCCTCTCTGTTCCTGTAGTTTATTTTCCGAGCGTTCAAACTTCGAGTTTATTATTATCATTATTGTTAATAAGTACCTGAAATAAGGGGGAAAAAAAGGAGAACGTTTCCCACTGAACGATAACGTAACAGCGCTGACAGTGCCGCCCGGAGCAGAGCGCTGTTCGGGCAGTGCCGGCGCAGCGCGGGGCGAGGGGGGGGGAGGGAGGGAGGGGAGGCCGGAGCGGGCTCATTAACAAAGCAAAGGTCGCAATTAGCGCCCGCCGCCTCGCACCGACCTCTCCCCCGCCCGCAGTCCCCCCCTCGCCCCCAGCACCGGATCGTTGCGAGGAATCTGTTGATGTTTTTCTTCCACCCGTCAAAACGTTGGAGCTCTGCCGGCCGCACCGCTCCGGGCCGCGTTTGTTGTGTCTGCGGGCGGCGGAGCACCGGCGCTCAATAGGGGGTCACGGGGCAGAGATCGGCCCCCGCCCCACAAACCACGACCCCCGGCCCCGAGGGGAGGGAGGGAAAGGGGGGAAGGTGTGACCCTCGCGATGGCGCTGATGGCTTCGCTTCGCCATCCCGGGGAACAACCCGGCGCGCTGCGGACGGCGTCGGGGGCAGCGGGGAAGCGCCCCCCCCTTTCCCCCCCCGGGAATGGAGCGGGGTCGGACTCGTGTGGGGCCGCCGCCTGCGGGAACGGGGCACCCGCGGGTGGCTCCGGGGAAAGGGTTTCGGGAGAGGGAAGAGTAATGATTTCCCAACCTCCTTCAAAAAAAAAAAAAAAAAAAAAAAAAAAGAAAGAAAAAAAAAATCAAAAAGAAAGGAAAGATTTAAAAAAAAAAAAAAAAGAAAAAGGAAAAAAAGAAAAAAGGAAAAAAAAAAAAGAAAAAAAGGGGGAAAAATAAAAGAAGAAAAAAAAGAAAAAAGAAAAAAGAAAAAATCCAAAGAAGAGAGGGAAAAAAAAAAAAAAAAGAAAAAAAGAAAGAGGGAGAAGAAAGCCTTTTTTGTTTGCTTGGTTTTGTTTTGCTTTGCGGCAACACTCCCTCGGCCCGGCTTGGTTCGCTGCCGCCCGTGGGAGCGGCTCCGGGCGCTCAGCTGTGTGCCTCCCGAGCCGCCCTCGGAGCTGCGCGGAGCCGCGGTGCGCCCAACGGCGCGGTCGGAGCGACGGCGTGCGGGAGGGACGGATGGGGCTGCGCTGCGCCCGACTTGGGCGATGAATGGGCGTTGGGAACGTGGGTCTGCGAGCGGTGCATTGATTCCGTATAGAGGGATCGTCTGCTCACGTCGCCGTGCGTTTGGATTTTATTTTTTCATTGTTTTATTTTATTTTACTTTGTTTTGTTTTGCTTTGTTCCGTTTCTAAAACGTGATCCCGTGGTCGTTGCAAAGAGTCCGACTGGCAGAGGAACTGCAAATCGCCCTGAGGGAACCTTTGGTTTAGGATCCGTTTTGTCTGCCGCTCCCCCCCTTTGCCCCCAACACAAAGGCTGAACACCAACTGGCTCTAAAGCAGCGCGGTTGGGGCGAGCAGAGAACAACACCGTGGGCGAAGGAGCGCCGGCGACACACAGGAGGGGCTGCAAACCGATATTATACTGCGAACATCCCAGGGCATCACTGTATGCAAAAATAGTTCCCAGAAATACGTCGTCGGGAAAGTGCTTTAGGGTTGAGTTATCTTGTTCCTTTTTTTTCCCTTTAAATGATGGTGATTATTAATTGTTATTATTACACGTGCCACGGTGATCTGCCAGCAACAGCCTTTTGCACGAGTACTGTGGCTCAGGGTGAGCAGAGCAGAGCAGCTCCCATCCCTTCCTCTCTCTCCCCCTCCGCTCTTGCAGCCCCACAACCCCAGGCTCGCACTCTACTCACCTGCACAAAGTGGCCCTAACGGGCTGTGCCACAATAGTGCCCTCTCCCTGTGCCCCACAGCACCCTACACATTTTCCATTGCATCTCTGTCAGCTGCCGGAGTGCACAAGGAGCCCTCTCTCCCTGCAGCCTCCATCGTGTCCCCCCCTGTTTTCTGCAAAACAGTGCCCCATCCAGCACCAAGCACAACTCCCCCGTGAGAGCTCCCTCTGGTCGGCTGCAGGATGGCCCCATTTGTGTTTGGGGCACCTGGCTGAAGCGATGGCCACAATCAGTAGTGGAAGATCCCAAACCAATGGGAAACAGACGGGCTCAGCGACCTCTGGATAACCCAGGCACCTTGGCACGAAGAGTGCAAAAATATTTACTCACCTTGAAGTTGCTTTTTTAAAAAAAAAAACAACAAAAACCAACAACCATGCTTCTTTTTATTTTTTTTTTTATTTTTTAATTTCTTAAGCCATCTTTTGAGATGGTTCAAGCTCCAGTCCAAGGTTTAATCATAGTATGCAGGAAGAAGGTGGGTGGGGAATGAGATGATTCTGGGGGAAAAAAAAGGGGAAAAAATTACCCAAACCCCAGGGCTGGGAAGGTACTTCGGGAAGGAGGGGCTGGGAAGGACTGAAAGGCTCTCTGTGACCCCTTACACCCTGCAATGAAGATCAGAAGCGTGCGTGCAAACCCCCTCTGCCTGATCTGAAAGCGATTCCAGCAATTAGGAATTAATTTGGCATGGTCAAAAGGCGATTTCACTGCAAGTTAGATCGAGTTATCTGAATTTTTACAGAGTTCAAGTGCTGGAAATGGGTCGCTGGGGTGGAGGGAAGCTGCAGGAAGGGAAAACAAGGAGTGCTCAGAAAAGGAAGGCAGGAGGATGCGGTGGAGCAGGGACTGGAGGGCACACACAGCACCAGGGGTGTGCTGCTGCTGTTGCTGGGGGGTGCTGGCATTCAGATGGGAGAAAGTACTAAAAATGCGCTGGAGGTCGCATTAAGTAATAGAAAGACAAGTTTTAATTAAAAAGTAAGTCGGTGGGCTCTCTGGCCAATGGCTCCTCTAGGTAAAGTAGTGTGGCAGGCACCAGAGGTGGCCTGGGTGGAGGAGCGGGGCTGCCCCCGATGTGTGGGGCCTGAGGCACTGGGGGAATGGAGGAAGGACAAAACCGGCCTTGCACACACAGGCTGCTAGCATAGAGCCACCGGGGCTGGGGGTGGCCCCCAGCACGGCCCCCGTGTAGCTGTGCCATGGCTGGGTCCCGGAGGGCTCAGGCGTTGGGGTTGCTCCTCATGAGCTCCACGTCGGCATCCACCATCTCCCTCACCAGCTCCTGTGAAGGAGAAGAAAGACAGGTGAGGGCCCTGGAGTCAGGGATGAACCCTGCAGCGTGATGAGCCCAACGCAGGAGGGGGAGGAGACATGGTTCCCCCAGTGCTTGCCTGTGTACTCCCCTGTTCGTGCCTTTCTTTGCTTCCCTCCATGAGTACACACTCCATTCCCAGGGTGAACAGTCAGACATGCCACTGAAGTGGCTGCTGCCATCCAAGGAACAACAGCCCAGGGTGGTCACTGATCATGGCAAACCCCCCCACCCCGGGTGGCTCCTGGAGGACATGAACCCCCGGTAGGCACAAAGCTCCTCACTCACATCAAATGTGACTCTGGGCTTCCAGTTCAGCTTTTGCCTGGCTTTGGTACAGTCCCCTTGAAGGAAATCCTGTGGAGAAGAGAAAATCACTGTGAGAATGGCTCCCTCTCCCCAGTGCACAGCATTGGTGCTGGGCTCTGTGCCGCTGCAGCCCAAAGCCCTCCAGACACAACCTGTCTGAGGAAGGAAACTTGGGGGAACCCTCAGAAGCAGCACCCAGTGGTCGGTGGGCACCAGGTGAGATGCACACATCCATGCAGGCTGAGCACGGCTCTCAGAGCCGGCTGCCTTCTGAGGGCAAAATATTTAAGATGTAATTGTTGTGGAAGTTCATATGCCTATAAATCACCAGGAGGCAGCATCCTTTCACCAGGCTATTTCAGAGCAGAAGAGTTATTCTTTGTTTTTGTGTATGTGCCTTACTGCCTTATAATGGTGAACGCTTTATAATAAGTTGTCATACATCTTAGTCATGCTATTGAATGAGCTGCTTCAAATTCCTTTTCCCCCTGCTTGTTTAAATAATGTAAATCACAGAGCAAACATGACAACTGTTCTCTTTCAAATAAAAATGTGATCGCAGACAGATGATGCTGAAAGACTGTTGTGAATATGGGTAACCACATGCAGCAGTAGTAAACAGCCAGCTTTTGAATTGCCTGCATCTAAATTTCTTAAGAATTTCCAGCATCCCCATGGAAAGAAAAGTCCAAACACCTCATAAATGAAAATAAATGATCTCAAAACTGTTACAGAAAACAAGACTTTGTTCACATTCACCTCACTGGTTAAGTGCTTTTCAAAGTGCTACCACACCAAAACAATCCCACAACCGGCCATCAAAACTAGCAACATTAAACAAGGAGAAAACTCCTGTGACTGCATCTCTAAATGAAGACGAAGGAACTGACTGCATCTTCCTGTAATACCCAGTTGGCTTTTGCAACTTGCTTTGTATGCAACGGTTTCTAATAAAGTGTCATCTCTCCATGCAAGTTTAGTTTCTCTGTAGTAAAGACCAAAATTATCTCTGCATGTGTTTAGGGAGCAACAAAACAAACTTTAGTACAGAACTATAAAGCTGAGGCTGAATGCTGCCACTGCCCTCGACTTGAGGAGTCTCCACTTGATGGTGGCAGAATGGCAAGGCTCTGCCCTACACCTGGGCCAGGCTTCTCCTTTTCTACACTGTGCCCATTGGTGGGGCTGATGGACGCATCGGGGTTGACTTAGGAGGAAGTTTTTCACTCATAGGGTGGTGAAGCACTGGAACAGGTTGCCCAAGGAGGCTGTGGATGCCCCATCCCTGGAGGCATTCAAGGCCAGGCTGGATGTAGCTCTGGGCAGCCTGGTCTGGTGGTTGGTGACCCTGCACATAGCAGGGGGGTTGAAACTAGATGATCTTTGTGGTCCTTTTCAACCCAGGCCCTTCTGTGATGGACACATTGCGGTTGACGGGCACATTGGATTTTGTATCCTGCTGCTGTTATCTTTTGTGCAAGTGTGGTTCAGGTTGTGATAAAATCCAAAATCACCTCATCCTGTGCAGTAAAATGTAGGAAATTCTTCTCTGTAATTGTGTTGCAGAAAGCTAGACAGCTCGCTTCCAGCAGCAGAGGAAATCCACCAAAGGAAATATTGCAGAAGGGGATGTGGAACAAACACGTCTGCTGAGGCTGTTCCAGGCAGCATTTGTAATACTTCAGTCTTTACGCTGAAAGCATTCCAGTGTGCCTTCAGAAAAGAGCAAATGGATGCATAGGAACAAAATGATATGAAAATAAAAATGCAGTGATTTCCTTAAATTAGACTAAATGATTTCCTACTGCAGCCCTGCACTGGGTTGTTAGAAACTGCCGCAGACATTTGGGGCCAAGTCATGTAAAACCATGTCAGCTTGAGGGATCCCCCAGAGGGTCGTGTGAATATGGATTGCAAAATCTGGTTTGAAATGAGAAAGGCTCCCACTAACTTTGATAAAATTTGGATCGGGCCCTAACGCACTCACAGAGGTATGCCTTTTATCTGGGGTTCAGCTTAGTTCACATTAATACGTGTGTATGTATGTGCCTGCAAACAAGGAAATCCTTCTTAAAATAATAATTTCATTATGAAAACAACTGCCTTTTATTCAGTTCTAATTCGAGCCACGAGCTACAAGTTGCGTTTTAATACCACCTCGTTTTAAGTCGTAAAAGCCGTATCATAAAACTTGTTTTCATTTTTGGAAATGCTGTTTAAGCAATAATTTCACATCCACAATCTTTGTAGCAAAAATATCCTTTGAATCCGATCCTATCAAGGATACAGCTTTCCCAGCTAAGAAATGGACCAGGAACAAGCAAACAAATTGCCGTTGCTCGCTGTATGTGGCTGCATTCTGCTTTCGAGCAGCTTGGGAGCAGTCTTTTAGCTTTCTTGGACAAATGCTTTTTGTTAAAACAGTTCAGATTTAAAAAAAAACCAACACCTTAATTCCAGTCTTTAATTCAAAAACATAAACATTCGGCTGCTGAATAGGTCAAAATAAAATGTGGGGGAGGAAGATTTGAAATCAGTAGTAAAATGATTTGCAGCACAGGATTACACATAGGGGTAGGACAAATAACTAGTGTATCAAATTCATTTACATACTAAAAAAAATGGATTTTTTTTTCTTAAAAAGCTCTCATGCTTTAACAATGATGTAGTAAATGCATTCTGGCATAATCCGTGAGCAAAAGGAAAAAAAAGAGAGGGAGAAAAGAGAAGATTTAATATATATGATAATACAAATGCCCCAGCTGATTCAGGTTAAAAGATTTTTAAGTGGCTCTCTTGAAGAAGTTTATGTACTTTTGAGAAGCACTACTCTGTAGTAAGATTTACTTGAAAACACCTTGTGCACAGAAAAACCCTTATAAACTTTTTAAAAGGTTCTCTTACAGAAGTTCTCATGTCCAGAGATAAAATGCTATGTGATACCACAGTATTAATGCTGTATTACATCTAAATTCAAGGTTTGGTTTTGCTCTTGTTAGGCGAGGTTTCAACACTGAATAGAAATGAAGACTGGAACAAAGCTACTCCTGATTAAAGGATTGTATCACAGTCGTGTTTCCTGTATTTTTCTACAAGTAGCTCATAATATGAAAACAATAAGGTAATTACAATAAAATAAGAATATTACAAAAAGCTCCTCTTGGAACAGAATGACTGCTTGTTTATATTATCCCAGCCTTTCACTGAAACCAGAGATGCGTTTGTCAGGCTTCCAAGAATATATACATATATATTCCAAAAACCTCTGGCACACTGATCCATAAAGTGTGTAGGTTCTGCAGCATTGGGGCTCCACTTTCTGCAGGTGCCATCAGCCAAGAAAGAAGAGGTGAGCTGTCACTGGGGAAGCTGTGGATGTTTTTGGGTGCTGCTGCTGAACGCGGGCTGCCGGTATCCCCGTGTGGCGTGGAAATGATGGAATGACTGCACTCTGTGCTTTGTGCCCCCGCAGGAGAGCTTTGTCCACAGCGCTGCACTTTATGTACTGACAGGAAAACAAAGCCCTCTGACTTCACAAGGGATTCAGATACTGAGCTGAGAGTCTGCATACCCGAAAACACCGGTTAAGGCTTTCTGTTGTTCTTACGGTGCTCAGGTCACAAAGATGAAACTAAGTCTTCACTCTTGGTTAATCATTTTGGAAGGAACATTCCCTTATTTTCCATGCAAATATAGTTAGCATAAGTGAATACTTATGACAAGTTTTGCCTGGAAGCTGTCTAAGAGTTGGAAACAGCATCCAGGTAAATATTTAAAGTGAAGGAAGGTGGAAAACACAACTGTATGTTAGGCTGCTTAACTGCATAGAACATACCTCACTATTACTAAATCTGCTTTTATGATTCAGTTTCATTGTCCAAATGCACACATGCCAATACAGACAGATAAGCAGGGAGAAATTTGTTATGCAGAGCATCAGGGCATTTTAAAATTAGGTTTTAAAGCCATGAGACAAAAATGTAGAATATTTTGATGTAAATATCACATTTCCCAAGCTCTTGTTCTGGGTGTCATCGCTGCTTTTATTTTGAGTCATGCAGTGATTGATCTGGTTTCAGCGTACAATGCATCACTGTCTCATTCAATTAGCCTTAGCTGAAAATGTAAAGCTTCAAGACAATGTGAGAAAAAGGAGATAGTGTGGCCTGAAAGAAATCCAAGGTTTCCTTAATTGCTACAGCTCAGCTGATTGCCTTTAAAATGTTCCTTCGCTTAAGCCAGCACTGAGAGCCAGTTTTTGCTTGCTGCTACAGCAGAATAAAATGCAGACTGAATCCTCAGAAAACACCTGCGATGGAATCATGCCCAGCTCCATTTGCTGCGGCAGAGACAAGGCTTTACCTCTAAAAATAAACAGACTTGATCTAAGCACACAACAGTTTTACTGCATCTGAAAAGTGGCCAGGGTTAGGTTCACAATCAGCAAGGCTGCTTGGAAGATGATTTGTTACAGCAGAGCTCCCACAAGTACGAAGTGCAGACCCAGCTCAGCACAGGCTCTGGCTTACGTGTTTAGTCTTGCACTGTTCCTCAAGGAGTTTTGTCAAGAAGGATTTCAAGAGAATAGAGGCAAACATCTCCTGCAAACGCTGCTTGTCTTTTACTTTCCTTGTCTCCTACTTAAGACCCTTCCCTTAACTTGTCCCATTAGAAAAAAAATTAATAAACAACTTTTGAAGCCAGCAACATTAGCTTACAGCTTTGCATTTTTATCTCAGTAAACTTCATTTTATGAAGCAATGCCTCCTTTCGTGCTCTTTTTGTAGCGTTTTTTTTTCACAGCAAGTTTTATTGAGCACGTCTCAGTAACAGCATTGCTGCACTGTACTCCTGGGCCTCTGCTGCAGATCATTCCCCCTGCTGCTGCAGGGGAACAGCCTTGCTACAGTGCTTGCAGCAGACAGCAGGCTGCATGTGCAGCTCACCACCCAGTTCTGCCTGCATTTCTCCAGTTCCCTGCTTGCCACCAGGCCCTGGGATGCTGTGTCCCAACAGAGATGCAAAGACAGAGAGCAGTTGCTGTGACT